CACAAAGGTACTTCTAAGTGGAAAAGGGAGAAATCAAGGGTAATGGCAGTGTGGAAAGGACTCAGGTAGCCTTATTGGTCTTGAAGATGGAGGAATGGACACACAAACCAAGGACTACAGGTGGCCTCTAAAGACTGGAAAAAGCAAGGAAATGAATTCTTCCCCAGAGCCTCCAGAAGGAACATGACCCTGCCAACACCTTGATTTTAGCCCAGCAAGACCCACGTCAGACTTCTGAGCTCCAGAAGTGTAAGATAATAAATTTGTGTGTGTGTGTGTGTGTTTTATTATTGAGGCAACGTTGGTTTATAACATTTTGTAAATTTCAGGTGTATATCATTATATTTTGATTTCTGTGTAGACTGCAAAATTTGTGTTTTAAGCCACTAAATTTGTGGCCATTTGTTAGATCAGCAATAGGAAATGAATGCATACTGCATATCAATAAAAAAGACAAATAAAAAAGGGATAATTCACAGAATTAAGAAACATCGATGTCCAGTAAATATGATTAAAAATACTGGACACCACTAGTAATCAGAGGAATCAAATTTAAATGAGACATATTTTGCCTAATTAACAAAAATTTCATAGCTGTTATCCACCCAGTGTTCTCAAGGATCCAAGAAAAGAGTCTCTTATACACTGTTGGTGATAGCCTGAATAGGAAAGATATTTTAGAGGGCAATTTGACAGAATCTATCAAAATTAAAGATTATATCCTTGTATACCTGTATACTACTTGAATCTTTCACAGTGAGAATATCTTGCCATATTACTTGTGAAACTTTTTTTCAATACATAAAAAGAAACAGACCAAGGGTAATAAGAAAACCTACAGCAACTGCGAAATGGAAGGAAACTTACAGTGTCAGGTGTGTGTGTGTGTGTGTGTGTGTGTGTGTGTGCGCGCGTGTGTGACAGACATACTGCTGTGGAGTTTTAGGAGAGTGACAGCAGCATTAGCCGGAGCTAATCATTTCCCTCCTCGTCACCCCAGCTGCTCAGTCTGCATCTTCTCTCACATCCGCTGTCAACGATGTGTTTATTGCATCTGTCTATGAGAGTGTCTGCGCCCCCTCCCCCTCGGTCCTCTAGGACGTGTGGCTAACGGCTCAGTCTGTTAGTCATGTCTGCACTGTGTGCAGCTGCTGCCTAGATTAAGTACTAATGATGAAAAGAAATGTTTTATCAGTAGACACATGTTCTTATAACATCAGTCATCCTTGAAGATTCCTACACCTTCTAAGAAAATCTTAAAAATAAACTCAATCAGCTACTCAAGCCAAGGTTGGAGGTGGCAGATGACGATACTACTGTTACCAAATTTTAGACTTTTAAGATGCACGTAGCAAGGTTTATCCCAGAGATCACCTTCGTTGCTCCCTTCTCCTTCCTTGCGTGGCTGTTGCTCCAACATGTTATCCCAAACATTCAAATCAACACTCCTGGGTGGTAAGCTCCCAGTGAAAATCATGATTTTCTCTTTGTGGTTGGAATACGTAGGTGAAGGGGAGCTATCTAGTTAGATGTGGACGTGGACGTCTCTAGTCATTGTGGACTGTTGTCTGGAAAGGGATTTTTGACCTCATCGACCAAAACCTCTCATTTTAGAGACAAGACACTAAGACCTGGGAAGAAGAGGAGTGCCTTTGAGTGTCGCAGTGGGGAACCCGGCACAAAATCCTCTCTCTTGATTTGGAGTCCAGAGATCTTTTCTCAACACTGGCCTTCCTTCTCCGTGTACCTTAGATGGCATTCCTAAGCTTTCTTTGAGGAATTTTTTGTTATATGTTATTAGTTGAAATTTACTGTTAAATGTTTAACCTTTGGGACAAAATTTCCATGTTGTGGACTGAAATGGGGTCTCTAATTAGCCACGCTGTGGAAGCTGTGGCAGAGTAATCTACCACCAGTCCATCTCCTTGTTGTTAAGGGGCCTATTTGAATAACTGACCGTTGGGCTCAGGAAAAAACATCCCCCTGTGGTGGCCTTGTAATATGTCAGTTTGCCTAGGCTGAACAATGTTTTCCAGAATCGCCTTGCTTGTATGTTTCCGGTTAAGATGGGCCCCAAAGGAGATTATTGTGGAGAATTTCAGGGCCAATGTGAAGCAGCAGCCATTTTTGTAGGCCACACGTTGTCACTTCGGGCTGGCTCCCCTTGTTGGCATGAGGCAGCAGCCGGACCTACAACTGCGCCCTGCCCTGGGTCTGCTTCAGCTTCTCTAACTCCTGGGCCTCGCCAGGTGTGTGTGTTTAGCTCCGTGGTGAAGGGCCCCAGCTCCTACAGCACACCCACTCCCCTAGTGCCAGAGGCAACACGAACTGACACGGTTTAGACATGATTTTAGTCAGTATTTATGGCTTCAGCTCATTGCTTGTGGTTCTGGCTTGTTGCTTTCCTCCACTTTCTACTGCATCCATCTTTCCCTGGCTTCTGCCCACCCTGGAGACTTTAAGCTGCAGCATCAGGGCCAAGACAGCAGCGTTACAGAGCTTTCTTTACCAGTTCCCACAGTTACATGATGTCAAATTCCTATAAATATTTATCTTTAACATATATACTTATATATGTACACACACCCACACACACACTCTCTCTCTCTAGTGGTTCTGCTTCTCTGGTTGAACCATGACTACCACACACCTCTGTCCCCAAGAAGCCACTGTTTTATTCACCAATTCTTTGTTAGTGGCTTGAGCAGAGTTTCTGGTGGACAGTATGACTTAGGACATCTGGAGTCCTACCCTCTGGAATTCTCCAACTTACAGTCATTCCATACCCTCAAAGAATGTGAAGTAAATTAAACGCCCCCCCTCTGGTGATGAACCGTCATTCAGTACCCAGCAACAACAACAGTAACAAAGTAAACCACAGCACCGAAGGAGAAAGCAGCTCAGTCTAGCAGGAGACAGAAGAAAAACAGAAGAACAAGGGCAAAGGGAACAAGATGGTGGACATGAGCCCGAGTAGCGGCAGTGGCCACAGCCAGAAGCCAGGACAGGCAGTGGATGTAGACCCTGAGCAGAGGAGACAAGAAGCTAGAACTCCTTTGGAGTTTCAGGAGCAAAAGAGCTTATCCTGAGCAGCCCTGTGGTGTTGCTGTGCCTCACGAAAGACACTTGTAGATGCCCATGTGCACACACACAGCAGGCGGGGTGAGGGTTCAGAAATATATACCCCATGTCCTGGCTGCCCTGGGTACCAATGATTCACAGTGTAGTCAGAGGGTAAAGAATTATTTAAAGATGCTGTTTCAAGGAATATTGATTTATCACCTAGACAGCCTACAGGTAGCTTTCAGTCTCATTCAGGATAGAGTTTAAGGTTCCAGATGGTTGGAATTCTGTTAGAAGCCAAGCACAAAGGAGGGATTGGAGGAAACCATCTGAAGAGGTGTCCTCATGGTCTCCATCAGTCTTTACCTCGGAAGCCCTCAGATCTTGGAATGTTGAGGAAAACACGACTAGTGAGGAAAGAGTGAGAACAAGCCTTCCAGAAAGTACCTCTGGCCAGTGGTGGTATCCTGACAAGTCAAGGGAGTTATCAGGAAGGCAGTAATCTAGAAAGTGGGGAAGATATTCATAGGAAGACTGTTTCCACCTCATGTTCTGGTTGGTTTTGCACATAGACCTGTTGATGTCCAGGAGGTCACCTTATTTTACTAACAGGTGAGAGACCTAAAGGCAAGCTGTCATCTTGGGCAGTTAAAGAAAACATTTTCCTAGAGTCATAATACCACTTTATTGTCAACTTCCCACTTCCTCTGCATTTTGTGTCTTTGTGACACATCACAGGTGGTGATGTTCATGATTGTGACCCTTGGGCATCAAAGAAAGGTTCCTTGCCCTTGGTATGATCTATGTAAGAAGGCAGGGAGGTCTGTAAATACACTTTATTTTTTTAAGTTAGCTTAATTGTTCTAGGAGTTGCCTTAGCTCTGATTTCCATAATCCTTCATGTCTGTTCCCATAGAAACCTAAACCAAGACCATTCTTTTCACCTTACTTGGTAACTGTTTCTGTTTGACTCTCCCGATTCCCACGACAGCACTTCCAGAGAATATTGAACGATATTCTGAATATTCTGAACTTGGTTCAGAGGAATACTCAATGCCCCAGTGAATGAATCTTGAAATAATTCCGTTATCCATGAAGTCAGGCTCTAAGGGTCTGAATAGCTGAGGTTTTATTCTACGTTCTAAAGATGAAACAGAATTTGAGTGCACCTAATTGAAAAAAATGTTTACAATGGGGTTACATTAATTGGTCGATGAGAGTTCTCAGCCTGATTTGCTGCAGGGGAGAGAGTCTCTAAGGATGATGCCTCAGAGCTTAGTCATCTCTGTTCCTGAGCGTCCTGATTGCATCTTGGTGCCTCCCATTGGTCAATTCCGAGTCTCCCTCATCCCACTGCATCGTGTGATTTTTAGCCATGTCCACAACTCTTTGTCCGTATAAAACATGATTCTGAAAGCACCGTTCCTTTCGGGATACAGATGCCAATCCAGTGCTCTCAGAATTCTTTAGATTGAAAGTAGAAATTAGCACTACCTGGCCAAAAAAAAAAGGCAGAAAAAGGGAATGCGAAGCTTAAGATACTACTATATAAGATTATATTGACATAGTTTTTTCTTAAATACTACTTTTATTTACAACAAAACCAGACATACTGGCTACACCAGGGTTGTGAAAAGAAAGAATTTTGGACAGAAAAAAAATACTTTCTAAGGAAGGATAATGATTTTAATAGCTGCCCTCAGGGGAAGACGCAGATGAGGATGAAGCTATCCCAAATCAGCAATTAGATAAATCTTGAGGATTATAGCACAACAGGATTTAAATTCCATTTCCAAAAATTCGCAACTCCTCTGGAAACTGAATGAACATGATTGCGGCTATCTGTGTTTTTGACCGATGCTCTTGCAGCTGTGAAATCTTGACCCGCACTGAAATGCCTCGCTGAGTCAACCCTTTCTGTGTCCTTGTCCCTGCAGCGCGAATCTGTCCAAGGCAGCCTGGGGAGCGTTAGAGAAAAATGGCGCCCAGCTGATGATCCGCTCCTACGAGCTTGGGGTCCTTTTCCTTCCTTCAGCATTTGTAAGTTCACACTTGAGACTGCCTGATGGGTCACGTGTGAAATGAATTGGGTTTTTATGTTCTCTTCTTTCCTACCCTCTGCCTGCGGTCGGGAGGAGGCAGAGCCCCCTCTAACCCAGAGCCCGTGCTCTCAACCACTGGCCAGTGCTGATGAACTTATTCAACACTCACTATTCTGGGAGTGGTGGGATCGCTGCTCTCAAAGAGTGGACCTGATTAGAGATTGAAGATATTGCTTTGGGTAAAGTTAATAGCAATGTTTAAATACTGTGAAACACGACATGATTTATTACCAAATGGTAAGTGAGGAGTCACTGAAGGAATGACTCAGCCAAGTGCGAGACGTTTTAGGTTGGGCTGATTGGAGGACTTTGGAAGCAGGAGGGCCCATGGGGGGTGGGTTGAAGCATGCTTAGGATTTAGAGGAGTGGGAGGAGTATCCCACGTTGGGTGACATGGCAGGAGCACAAGCCAGGAGGCAGGGAAGTTCATGACATCTGCTGGAGAAGGAAGTTCAAGGGGTCGCAAAGGATGCGTGTGATCAGACTCACTGGTGCGCCCCCTGGAAGGACACGAAGTTGGAAGCCATGTATCTTTCTTGAGACGTCCAGCACAGCCAGCTTGTCTCCCAGCTTTGGAACAGCTCTCAATTTCTGCTGCTGCTGAACACCAGACACAGTGGCTGGTTTTTGTGTAAGGACCAGGTTGTACAAGCCATGTGTTTCTCTAAACACTGGACTCCACTCTTGGACCAGAGAGAACGTTCCCCCTCCACCGCCTCCAAGAGGCCCATGGGCCCCGAGACCTGCCATCTCACCCCCTCTCACGCACTCTGGGCACATGCTCATCACTGGAATGCAGGCAGAAGTGCCCACACGATGAGGTGGGTATTTTTTTTCTTGCCACTTGCTATAGTTGAGTTTGTGATACATATACACATGATGCAGCCCCACTGTAAACCACTTGGACTGGGCGAGAAGATTTAGCTAAGGGAGTGCTGGGTACTTGTCCTTAGGCTTAAATCCAGACCCGTGTAACATGTGGGCATCGTCTTAAAGTGTGCTGGAGAGGGTTCTCCGCCAGCCCACTGCTCCTCCTTGCTATTTCTTTTCTCACGTGTGCTCTGGTGAAGAGCTCTTTTCTGCCTTTCTCTCTCCTCCCCTAGCCAATCTTGATCCATCTTCTCCATCTCAGAGGGTTTCACTGCAAACTAACAGACCTCTCCTGAGAGTAGTATCATAAGATTCCAGCACTTTTTGTTTCTTCAGTCAAACAGAGCAAGTACTAACACTGCTTACAGCTGAGGATTTCCACTTCCACAGCTCTGTGGGTAGATGGTTACCTTGCTTTCTATAGACAAGGATGTGGCTTCCCTAAGGTTCCACAGCTGAGGGGGTTCCAGTCTCTAACTGGTCCCTCCTGTGATCTCTCAGCTTTATCACAAGGAAAGAGTAAATTCGCAATGCTAAGGTAATATTTAGTAATTGGGTGTGATTGTAGTGACTGTAGCTTTGAACTGAGGCTAGAATTATCTCCCAATAATAACTTAAGTAATGGAATGAATTCCATGCCACTGTTGTTTGGCTTTTGTTGTCAGCATTTGCAAGATTCTAGTCATTTCTAACTGTTCTGACCTGCTTCCTCATCGTGAAAATGATAATAGGAAAGAGACATATTGTACTTCCAGGTCCTCTAGACCCTTCTAAACTGCTAATTTTTATCTCCAATATGGTTTCTGACTGTGCGTTAGAGAAGGCTAATAGAGAAAAAATGGGCGTAATCGTTTAGAAAGCCGAAATTGATTCTATACTAGACTCTTATTTCTACACTTTTGGAATAAGAAAAAGCCCCACTGTAATGCATTCTGGGTAAAATAGAGATTCAGTTATTTATAAAGACCATCGGGAAAGAATGTAAAAAATGGATTCCAAGGCCGGCCCTGTGGCATAGCGGTTAAGTGCATGCACTCTGCTATTGGTGGCCCAGGTTTGGGTCCCGGGCACACACCACCGCACCGCTTGTCAGGCCATGCCGTGGCGACGTCCCACATAAAGTGGAGGAAGATGGGTACAGATGTTAGCTCAGGGCCAGTTTTCCTCAGCAAAAAGAGGAGGATTGGCATGGATGTTAGCTCAGGGCTGATCTTCCTCACAAAAAAAAAAAAAAAATGGATTCCACTCCTTCTATGTCAGCAGATTCAAGAGCAAGGTCCCAAGCAGGGTGACCGTGTAATTAACATATTGACTAAGAAGATGGCAGGTTCTCCAACAATCAGAGTTCCTGGCATGTCTCAAGATACAGATCCTAGAACAGTGCTTCCCAGCAGGCTTCCTCCATAACCCTGATAAGGACCCATGGATTGCCACTAATCTTGTCAACAGACATTCTCCCATCTGAGTGGATTGTCTGTGTCCTTCAGGGAATCATCAACGACTCAGGCAAGGTGCTGAAATTAGGCATGTGGACGATACACAGAAGTATTTGACCTTGCCCTCTCAAGGAGCTAATAGCCACGTTGAGCAAGAAGGTCATAAAAGTCAAATGGACACCTTGTTTGAGAGACATCCTAGGTGTAAGTCGGGTGCTAAGACATGTGAGGAAGGCACGTGGGAGGCTCTTAGTAAAAGTCTGTTAGTCGACGTTGCTTCTTTTAAGTCCCTAGAGTATGCACTGCCCTTTCTGTGAGAAGAAATGTGCGAGACAGTGGCTGTGGAGACTGCGTGGATTTAGTCCAGTGGGTGTTGGGTGTGGTAGGTGCTTAAATATGTTCACGTTATCTTGTTGTAAGCAGTTTGCAGTATGGAGTAGCTCACCTGTAGCTGTCTTGTTGAAATTAAAGCGTGTGCGCGCGCGCGCGCGCACACACACACACACACTCTCTTACGAGTCTATTGTATTACTTAGAAATGCCAATCCCTATATATTCATTAATGTCTTAAAAATTTCTCAGTCATAATCTTAAAATGGTTACTGACAATAATGCAGTTTGTTGTAAAATGAGGCCCAAAGTTATTTCTTTCTGTAGATTTCCCTTTCAGTACTATCAAGACATGCCTTTTAATATTTTTAGTTACATATTTGCCAAATAGACTTACTTAATACTGAGTTTTGTAGTCATTCTTCTGACTGGACATCATCCAGAATCCGGTTTCTTGAGCTCAGCCTACCTTCGTGCCTCTTAGGCAGAACTCCATGTCCACAACACCCCCAATTCTGAGTTATCAGCAACTGGAGTTTCCACTTTTGTCCTTCACCAGTAGGCCATCCTGATCACCGTGTTCCGGAACGCTGGCTTGAGGCCAGCGTTGCAAACAGTCAAGTTTTGTACCCAGAATGGCAGAGTCTTAAACACTGCAGAGTCAGTCACCTAGAAAGAACCCTGCAGCTCTCTGCTTTCCCACAGCCATGATGAGGACCTGTCACTCAGAGCCAATGGCCGTGTGAAGTCACGCTCTGTGTGGCCTAAAGACTATAGTGGATGGAGAGCCAGCATTTCCCGTTCACAATAAAGATGCCACTTAAAACCTCTGGGATTGATCTGGAAGCTGATAAGTCCTTGGTAACCAAATATTTGTTGCCATTTTTTCTGCTGCTTTTAAATGAATGAATCAGTAAACACATCATTTTGAGCTCAGGCTAACTTGCCATGAGAGCGTGGAGTCAGTAGCTTTCCCTTTGATCAGGAGCACATTCAGGAGTTTGGGGATTTATGTCAAGGGACATTTGACTGTGTCCCCAGCACTTAGCTATTGTTGCTACGTAGGAGGTGCTTAATAAATGTTTTTTAATTTAAATTGGAGACTTTATTCTTTTGAGGTCTAATACCAGTTTATTAAGTATATGATTTTTGTTGGATTGTCCTTTTAGTTTAGATGTGTTTAACTTTTAGATTAGACTAATTCATTTAGGTTCGGAAAACCTCAATATAGGAAAGTTCTGCTGATTTCAAAGATTCAGTAGCTGTACTCCAAACCCTAGGGCATCTGTGAGTATATCAGGGAGACAGGAGTATTTCTCTCTTTCAACTTCATGCATTTTGGTGTTTACTGAGCACGTACTTGTCTGATGCTGACTGGGCCCCTGACTTGAGCCTGCATAGCACAGTGTGGCTAGAATGCCTCCTACCTCTGGGAATAATGCACATAACCATCTGAGAATCACGGATCAATGTCCCAAGCTGTTTCCTCCAGACGAAGGTAGCCTGAGCTTCACCGCGCTGGTGGTGGAGCTGAGAGCCATCCCAGCCCCTCCTGAGCCCCAGGTTCACCTGCTCCTGAGATGACGGGTTCTCTTTGCTGTGATCAGATTCAAAAATGCTTCAAGGAGAGCCAGCCCCGATGGCCTGGCAGTTAAAGTTCAGCACACTCCACTTCGGCAGCCCGGGTTCAGTTCCCCGGCACGGAAGCACACCGCTCATCTGTCAGTAGCCACGTTGTGGCGGCGGCTCACAGAGAAGAACCAGAAGAACTTACAGCTATACACAGCTGTGTACTGGGGCTTGGGAGGTGGGGGGAGAAAAAAGGAGGAAGATTGGCAACCTATGTTAGCGTAGGGTGAATCTTCCCCTGCAAAAAAGAAAAAAAGCTTCAATCAAGTCCCCAAGAACTTTCAGTCTTCAAGTCTCTACTTTCTCTTTTCTCTGTTCTGGTTAAACTATTTCATTGTCTTTTTGTTGTTAAAAATGGCAATATTATTATGACTGTGGCTCTGGCTAGAAGAACTAATAAAATTTACAGGAGCCACCATCTCAACCCTCCCCACACGCCCTCTGACGACCTGTCTTGGGCCCAGCCCACGGGCTGGGGGCTCTCAGGGTTTCCCAGGAGGCCACAGCTGGGCAGCTCTGTTTCAAGTGGCATTTAAAGCCACTTCCTCACATTCTATGCCTTCCTCTTACCCGTCCACCTCCAGTCGTCACATCCTGACTCCTCTGCCCTGACAAGAGCTTTGCTGCCTGCTGCTGCAGGTCGTCGTCTTCTCCCTCCCCTGGACTAACTGAT